CAGCCCACAAATCCTAAATATTTATTATCTTGCCCTTTACATAAAAGTTTTGCCCATTCCTGCCCTAGAGATAACATGTATCCTTGTAATTTATTACAGTTTAAGTTAGATATTTTTACCGCTTCTCAACAATGCAACAACCTATATTTTTATATATGTTTCACTTTTATATATACTTTAAATCCCAAAGACTTTATTATAATTGTTTTGTAAACAATTTTCATGAATACTTAACCATTACTTATCCTTTCTGATACTCTTGATTTCTTCCTGCAATTCTATGTCTCTAGGCTTCCATCTGGGATCATTTTCCTTTAGTCTAGAGCCCCCCTTAGTATTTTGTTTGTAGTGAAGGTCTCTTAGTAATGAGTTCTTTCAGCTTTTATCTGCAAACATCTTTCTTTTGCTTTCAGTGGGTATAAATTCTAGGCTGACAGTTATTTTTCTTTTAGCCTTTTAAAAGAGTTGTCCCATTGCCTCTGGATTCCATAATTTCTACTGAAGAGCCACCTATAGGTGTCATTGTGTCAGATAATATTTTTTTTTCTGGCAATTTTAAAGGTTATTTCTTTGTCTTTGATTTTCAACAATTTGACGACGATGTTTTTTTGCTATAAGTTTTCTTTGTGTTTATCCTGCTTGGATTTTGCTGAGCTCCTTGAATCTGTGGGTTGACATGCTTATCAAATTTGGAAAATTGTCCCCTGTTATTTCCTTAAATATTGCTTCTGTCCTATTCTCCGTCTCTTCTCCTGGGACCCTAGTTACATATAGGTTAGACTTCTAATATTCTGTTGTTTTCCTTTCTTTGTTCCCTCTGTGCTTTAGTTTGGATATTCTCTATTGACTTTTCTTCAAGTTTATTTATCCTATCTTCTGTTGAATTTATTCAGTATTGTGTTGTGCCTTTTTAGAACTTCCATTTGGCCTAGCCGGCTTGGCTCAGTGGATAGAGCATTGGCCTGCGGACTGAAGAGTCTCAGGGTTGAATTCGGGGTTGCGGGCTCCATCCCCAGTGTGGGGTGTGCAGGAGGCAGCCAATCAATGATTTTCTCTCATCATTGATGTTTCTATCTCTCTCCTTCTCCCTTCCTCTCTGAAATCAATAAAGAAATACATTAAAAAAATAAAGAACTTCCATTTGATTCTTCTTTATACATTCCGATTCTTGTTTACAGTTCTCCATCTTTTATCCATCTTATCCATCTTTTCCTTTTTCTCTATTCCCTTTAACACACTAGTCATGATTATTTTGACACTTTGATCTGCTTATTCCAATACCTGGAAGGTCTGTGGCATTGCTTTTGTTGACTATTTTAACTATCAGTTACTTTTTTCTGCTTTTCATTTCTAGTACTTTTTCACTGTATCGGAGTCATTGTAGATACATTATAGAGGCTCTGGATTATGTTTATAAAGTAATATGTTTCCTGTAGACTGTTAAGTTACTGACTTATCACCTTGATCCTGTCAGGGGTTGGTTTTAGACTTTGTTAGAACCAGGTCTATTACAGTTTTGCCCTTGTTTTCTTGATGTGGTTTTTATTCTTAGGCTGTGGCTTTTCTAGAGTCTCATACTGAAATTTCAGGGTGTTCACAAAACCCTCACTATTTTGATTGAACCTAAATTTCAACCTCTGTCTTGAGACCCAGCACTGTGCAGCCTCTGAAATCTCTGCTCAGGTCTTCAGCCTCGGGAACCTGTTCTCTGCTAGGCTTTCTGGAGTCTCTTCATACGCATGCACAGCCATGAGTCTCAGTGGGGAATTTTGACTTAGTTTTTTAACGGGGGGAATCCCTTCTCTCTAGAACCCTTCCCAAATCCTAGCCTCCACATCAGTCTCTGCTTAGTAAGACAGCTGCTTTCTGCTTTGTCCCTTTTTCTCAGCACCTGGTTTGAGAAATATTCCCTCACAGGGAAAGCCAGGGTGAGCGTGTGGTCACCTTTGCTTTCCCTTGTCTCAAGATGTGTAGCAATACACCTCTTACTGTCATGCCTGCAAATGGTTATTTTAGGTATTGCCAGGTTTTATAGTTGTTGATGATGGGACAGTAAATCCATTAGCCTCACAATATAATACTAATAGAAAAGCTTGGCGGGGTGGGGGGACTTTGTTTACATTATGATCACCATTGAAAGCTATATATTTGGGCCTGGCTGGTGTGGCTTGGTGGTTGAACATTGACCTATGAACCAGAAGGTCACGGTTCAATTACCAGTCAGGGCACATTTCCGGATTGTGGGTTTGATCCCCAGTAGGGGGGATGCAGGTGGCAGCCAATCAATGATTATCTCTCATCACTGATATTTCTCTCTCTCCCTCTCCCCTCCCTTCTGCTCTGAAATCAATAAAAATATTTTTTCAATTAAGAAAGTTGGCATTCACTGGAAAGAAGAGATTGGAAGGAATGTATGAAACAATTAAGTTGCTGGCCAAGTTAGATGAGATTAGGGTGCTGAGGAGGAATTTATCCTAATATCTGTATTGTTTCTTTCTAACCCCTCAGTATCTCCCTGCACTTGGATACTCAAAACGGGTCCATCTGATGAATCCTATGGTTCCAGGATTAACTGGTAGCAAAATGAGTTCTTCAGAAGAGGTAGGTGACAACTCTGACTTGAGTTTAGAAATCTGCAGTAAGAGATGAAGAGATTAAGGACTCAAAAGGAGAACTTACCTAACTAAAATTCTCAAATACTTGAGTTAAAGTAATCTTAAATTAGTTAATTCCAGTGGTTCTTGAGTACCGAAGGACCCAGAAGCAGTCCTGATGATTTTTTAAAAAATATATTTTACTGATTTTTTACAAAGAGGAGGAACCGTCCGTGGTCCAGGTGGTGAGCAGGGGTGGGGGACGTCCGGCCCGCGGGCCGCAGAAGGCCCTGGAAACCGTTTGGTCTGGCCCTGCCAGGCACGAGGGGTGAGTTGATTAAGTATTTGACCAAAGATAGCAGGCTAATTTTTTAAAATATATTTTATTGATTTTTTACAGAGAGGAAGGGAGAGAGATAGAGAGTTAGAAACATCGATGAGAGAGAAACATCCATCAGCTGCCTCCTGCACACCCCCTACTGGGGATGTGCCCGCAACCAAGGTACATGCCCTTGACCGGAATCGAACCTGGGACCCTTCAGTCCACAGGCTGACGCTCTATCCACTGAGCCAAACCGGTTAGGGCAGTCCTGATGATTTTTGAAGTTTTACTGCTACTGATAAAAAGCTCAAGCAAACGTAATTTCTTTATTCATAGAACTGTGATAAAATTCAGCCTTATTAATGAGATGGCTGTGGTTGCATTTCACCAGCTAGCGTCTTGATTATTAGGGTGATGTTTGATATAATTAATATGATATATATGCTGTCTTTTAACATGTAAAAGTCCAATTTAAGGAATGTACACTTTTATTTTGTTCACTAAGGGTACAGAATAGAGCAGCAGTTGCCAACCGGTGGTCTGTGAGGTCCGAAAGGTTGGCAACTGCTGGAATAGAGGACGGGTATCCCAGAGATGTGGAAGGTTGTGTTCAGGGTTCCCAAACATGGCTGATCTTCAGAATCACCTAGGAAATTTTGTTTTAAAGTTGATTAGACCCTGTCCTTAGGTTCGGATAAAGTGGTTCTGGGAAACAATTCAGGAATCTGTATTTTCTTTTAAATCGTTCTACATGATTCTGTTTGAAGTAGTGTTTGGGCGTTCATCTAGTTCTTTGATCAGAGATGAATAAATATATACATGGAAATTGTTATTATTTTCAAAAGAATATACTCATTCTTTTTTCTCTCAAGTTACAGTGTTCCATGTCTCAATTATTTCTCTGACTAAGTATATACATTACTCATCCTATTGGTGACATTCACCATATTTTAATCCTGGAAATAGGTACTAACAGCAGTTCCCAAACATGAATGCATTAGGATGACTCAGAGCTTTTTAAAAATATAATACCTGGCCCAACCCCAGGAGATTTTGATTCATGAGGTTTGGGTGGAGCCCCGTAATTTATATTTTTTTAAAGCACCCCAGGTGATTCATATACGGCCATATGTGGACCAGAAATTGGTGACTACTGAACTCAGATGAGCATGATCTCACTCATAGAATAAGAAACAAATTCTATTACCCTAAAAGGGAAAAGTGGCTCTAGATAATTCATGATATCTGGTGCTGGTAGTTGTGAAACAAGTATCACCACACGTTGCTGATGGCAATGTCAATTTGTATACCCCTTTCAGAAAACAGTTTGGGGCTTGGTAGTTTTTGGTATTTTAAGGAAATAATCTTAGAGAAGGCAAAAAAAAAACTGCTAGATGTTCATTGTAGTACGATGTATAATTCATAACAATTAGGATATAATCCGAAAGTTTAGAAACTGTTATATAAATTATGTTGTCGCTAATAGTTGGAAATACACCATAAAAATTATAAGTGAAGACTAGCCACTCAGAAATGCTTATGACATAGTCTCATAATTTTTAAGTCTTTGTTTAAAGATTAAAATGCGGAGGTTAGGAGCACCGACATTCCCCTCCATGCAGTTGAAATCTAAATATAACTTTTGACTCCCAAAAAACTTACCTACTCATAATCTACTGTTGACTGGGAACCTTAACAATAATAGTCAATCAACACATATTTTGTATGTTATATGTATTATATACTGTATTCTTACAATAAAATAAGCTAGAGAAAAGAAAATGTCATTAAGAAAATGATAAGTACTGTACATATTGGGGAGAAATTGCGTATAAGTGGATCTGTGCAGTTCAAGCCTGTGTTGTTCAGGGTACACAGATTAGTTGAGCATATTCTCATTTTCAACCACAAGAGGTCCTCTTCCCTTCCATTGCTTCTAGGAGTCCAAGATTGATCTCCTTGATCGGAAGGAGGATGTGAAGAAAAAACTGAAGAAGGCCTTCTGTGAGCCAGGGAATGTGGAGAACAATGGGGTTCTGTCCTTCATTAAGCATGTCCTTTTCCCCCTCAAGTCTGGTAAGACACTCCCTGTTTTCTTCTCAGAGGCCAGGCTGAAAGAGCAGAACTAGTAGTGATAATACTTGTGATCATACACTGTATCATACTTGTGATTTGTCACAGTCTTCCTCCAGGGATGGCTTCCCTGGTTCTCTGCTCTGAATTCACAAATATTAATAATGGTTGGAGTTGAAATTCCATTTAGTTGTCCATGTGTTGTTACCAGGTTAGGTTCTAAGTGCAGTGGGTAGCGATGATAAAATGAGGGTGGGGGCACGGCATGCTTTCTCCTTGGATTTTATATATAGGTATGTAAAGTACCTGAAATTGTGTCAAATATTGCTGAGGTTCCATTCACTTGTTTTAATCTATTTCTTTTTCTGCTTTCCTTCGGATAGCTTCTATTCCTATATCTTCAACTTCACTGATGTCTTGCACTATATTATCTAATCTTCCATTGTGTTCATCCTATAACATGTTCATTTTAAATATTGATTTTTTTCATTCTTGGAAGTTCCCTTTGATTTTTTTTAAATGTTTTTATTTCTCTCCTCACTAAATTTTTTTTTAATTCCATGAGCATATTTGTTACAGCAATTTCAAAGCTGTTACATGTTGATTTCTATGTCATGTCTAAGTTTCTTACTACTAACGTTATTTTCCTTGTAATGGGTCACATTTTTTCATTTTTTTAACATGTCTAATCATTTTTATTGGGTGCTTGGAATTGTGATTGTTACACTTTGCATGCCTAGATATTATCTTCCATTAAAGTGTTTTCAAGTTTGTTTTGTCAGGCAATCAATTTACTTGTGGATCAACCTGATCTAATTGAGGTTTGTTTCTAAAATTTTAGGAAAGTCTAGAATAGCCTTTACTCTAGGGCAGTGGTCGGCAAACTCATTAGTCAACAGAGCCAAATATCAACAGTACAACGATTGAAATTTCTTTTGAGAGCCAAATTTTTTAAACTTAAACTATATAGGTAGGTACATTGTTATTAACTTAATTAGGGTACTCCTAAGCTGGCCTTTGCTAAAAACGTCCTCAATCTGATTGAGGTACGTTCGCTGAGGTCGACCCCTTCCAACTCTCCCATCCACACTCGTCTTGTATACTTGTTTCATCTATCTCCTTTCCGAAAACTGACTTCTGCGCATGGGCCACAAAGTTTCAATCGCACTGTATGTGCGCGCCCGCACATGATATTTTGTGGAAGAGCCACACTCAAGGGGCCAAAGAGCCGCATGTGGCTCACGAGGCGCGGTTTGCCGACCACTGAACTAGAGGGATAAAAAGAAACGTAAGACACAATCCTTCCCCTTGAGTTTGGATGCTAGTTGGGTATACAACATGGCCACACATCCAATTTTAAAAATTAAAACACCACGTAATAAAGTTCAAAATAACATGTATGACAGAAACAACAGATACCCATATATTTGGGCTAGGAATGCTGACTCTGCCATTAGCAGTGAGTTTGTTGGTGTAATTCTTTTTCTTACAGAGTTTGTGATCCTTCGAGATGAAAAATGGGGTGGAAACAAAACCTACACAGCTTACTTGGACCTGGAAAAGGACTTTGCCAATGAGGTAATACCAGAGGAGGCATAATCCCCACTGAACTCATTCTTTCTTTTTTTATTCTTCACCCAAGGATATGTTTTAGAAGAAGAGAGAGAGAAAGAGAAACATCGATGTAAGGGAGAAACATTGATTGGTTGCCTCCCATACATGCCCCACCTGAGGACATCGAACCCACAACCTTTTGGTGTATAGGATGATGCTCCAACCAACTGAGCCACCCAGCCAGGGCCCCACTGAACTCATTCTGACAGACCTCTCCATCTTGTCCTAGCCGGGTTTCTGGCTATGTATGCTCTCCAGGGCCATATATATATATATTGTTAATGGCTTAGGTGAGGATTCAGATGGTTGACAGATTAGATGGGCAAACGGCACAAAGCTAATGTATTGGTGCCCTAATCACTCTCCAAAGGACTTAACCTGGAATGAAGAACCAAACCAAAAGGAAGCATTTCAAGGACAGGTACAAAATCAAGGCTCAAAAGGGAGACACAAGCCCTAGCTGGTTTGGCTCAGTGGATAGAGTGTCTGCCTATGGACTGGAGGGTCCTGGGTTTGATTCCAGTCAAGGGCACATGGCTGGGTTGCAGGCTCGATCCCCAGTAGGGAGCATGCAGGAGGCAGCTGATCAATGATTCTTTCATCATAGATGTTTCTCTTTCCCTCTCCCTTCCTCTCTGAAATCAATAAAAACATATTTTTTTTAAAAAAAAAGGAGACACAAACATAAAAGGACAGAATAGAAGATACTGTTTGTTTCACCAGTTTAGCAAGACTTACTCGGTGGCCATGTGTTAGGCACCGTGTTAGGGGCTGGCAATACAAAGAAGACTACATCCTCATGAAGTGCATAATCCAGTAGGAGAAGCAGGCATATAAACAAATATTTCCTGTCTTACTGCCCAGTGAAGATATATGCATGGTCTAGAAATAAATGGGAGGAAGTGATTAACTGGCTGTCTGGGAATCTTTGTAGAGGGGATAGCATTCACTATTTCACTTGAGGGGTAGGGATTCATGAGGACATCTGTGAGGGAATAAACTGCAAAGACATGGTAAGATGAAACAGCATGGTATACAAGGAATCACTGTGGTTTGGTCTGCCTAGGCAGTGGTTCTCAACCTTCTGGCCCTTTAAATACAGTTCCTCATGTTGTGACCCAACCATAAAATTATTTTCGTTGCTACTTCATAACTGTAATGTTGCTACTGTTATGAATCGTAATGTAAATATCTGATATGCAGGATGGTCTTAGGCGACCCCTGTGAAAGGGTCATTCAACCGCCAAAGGGGTCTCGACCCACAGGTTGAGAACCGCTGGCCTAGAGTCTAAAAGGTGAGGCGGGACATTGCAGGCATGGACAGTTCATAAAGGGAAGATGTAAGAATAGTGTATATGGGGGGAAATGGGGAGTTTTGGTTGACTCTGAAGTTGAGTCAGCAATGTGATAGGGCTGTGTGAGTCTTGGCCTAAATCATCAGAAATGTAGATCCCGGAACCAGGGAGCTGGTAATGCATTCAGTTCTCCATTGTTCTGAGTACGTTTGGGCTTGTGCATGGACTTCAATCTTAAGAAGTTTATTTGATAATCGGGGGTGTCTTCGTCGGGAGAGGAAGGATGCCACTATAGGCAACACACTCAAAACCACAGTTGAAAGAACTGGGCATGTTTAGCTGAAAAGCAAGTATGAGTCCAGTCATCCTCAACTACATGAAGGACTCTCCTGGGTTAGGGTAGGTTTCTTCTTGTGGCACCAGAGGGCTAGACCAGGACTTCGGGAGGGGACCACAGGGACGCATGCTTAGGTTCAGCTTCAGGAAAAACTTTCTAACGACCTCAATTCTGTGGCAATGACAGGGCTGCTTCACTTGACCTTGCATTCCCCACCACTGAGGTGTTCAGGCAAAGAACCATGTCGTATGAGGCAATGTTGTAGGAGGGTTTGGGCATCAAATAGAAGAAAGGACTCGGTGACCCCTGAGATCTGAGGGCCTTTAAGGCCCATTTTTTAGATATTTGACAGCCAATCAAAGATTCTCTCTCATCATTGATGTTTCTATTTCTCTCCCTTCCCCTCTGAAATCAATAAACAATATATATTAAAAAAAATAAGAGACCTGGGCCCCGGACAAGTCAGATAACCTTTCTGGACCTATTCCCTTCTCTGCCCTACCAGCTTCACAAGGTGGTTCCGGTTGTGCTGGGGAGGTGTCCGGTGTCCTTTGCCCTGTTCCAGTGTCAATTCCCTTCTCTGCCCTACCAGCTTCACAAGGTGGTTCTGGTTGTGCTGGGGAAGCTCCCGGCATCCTGTACAGACAATATTAGTAGATTGAGGTGTCCGGTGTCCTTTGCCCTGTTCCAGTGTCGTACCTCACCAGGCCTCATACACTTTTGCAGGTTGTACACCCTGGAGACCTAAAGAATTCTGTTGAAGTCGCCCTGAACAAGTTGCTGGATCCCATCCGGGAAAAGTTTAATACCCCTGCACTGAAGAAACTGTCCAGCGCTGCCTACCCAGATCCGTCGAAGCAGAGTAAGGCCAGTGGGGGAGGGGGTGACATCATCTGGAATGATAGCCTGTCAGTGGCCTCAGAAAGAGGTCTGTCCTAAACTGAGGGCCCAGAAGCCAGGGGGTCTGAAGTGCAAGAATGTCATACCCTGTTGACTCCTGGAATGGAACTGAATCATCTTGGTTTTGGTCTGGTGGATAGTGAGCCGTGACTGTGTCCTGTTGTACCAGCACTGCTGGGAGATGCTGGTGTAAGACGTGTCCTTGGGTCCTTTCACTAAGTCCTCTTCAGTTAGACCATGGCGGTGACACAACTGCTTAGGCCCAGCCTGCACAGCTTCTCAGGGAAGCTCATCTTTAGAGTCACTCACTTCCCTTCCATGTGCCTCTGACTGGCTCTTAGTTGGCCAACCACTCCTCTCAGAAAAGACTCGGTAATTACATGTGGAGCACATGAATGGAAGCACCTAAAGGTGGCAGAGCTACGACTGTCCCCTCCCCTCTCCTCCCGCCTAATAACTGAGTAAGAATAGATGAAAATCTAGTATGTTACTCCTCAAAGGGTTGTATCACAACCCTGTTTTAAAGAAGATATAGCTCAAAAGTAGCATTCATGGTAAGGTAAAATGTAATTGATCAAGAAAAGTCTGGCCCTAACCGGTTTGGCTCAATGGACACAGCATCGGCCTGCGGACTCAAGGGTCCCAGGTTTGATTCCAGTCAAGGGCATGTGCCTTGGTTGCAGGCACATACCCCGTAGGGAGTGTGCAGGAGGCAGCTGATCGATGTTTCTCTCTCATCGATGTTTCTAACTCTCTATTCCTCTCCCTTCCTCTCTGTAAGAAATCAATAAAATATATTTTTAAAAAAAGAAAAAGAAAAGTCTGGACTACTGTAAAATAAGAGGCCAGGACTCTCACGTTCTATAAAAGTATTCAGGTCCTCAGTTTGCTACTTCCATGAAATCCTACATGACTAATATATAATTCTGTAAATCTTTCCAGTAAAATTAAATAAGAAGGATTAAATGATTTGATAGATAGATGAACGTATAATTGGTGGCTGGATTCTGGTGATTCTGCAGAAAGGCTGCTAGTGTCCTTTGGTGGGATCAGCAGTTGGCTTCCCATAGGGAAAGAGGACAGTTCTGACCCCTTGGGGTTCTTCTCATTCCCAGAGCCAGTTGCCAAAGGCCCTGCCAAGAATTCAGAACCAGAGGAGGTCGTCCCATCCCGACTGGATATCCGTGTGGGGAAAGTCATCAGTGTGGACAAGGTACTCGTTTTCACTACATTCCAGAGGCAGATAGGGGTCAGGTTTGTCTGTTTCCATCTGGAGGAAACCTGGCCTGAGATGGGAAGTAACATCCCTGAGATCATATTGCAAGTCAGAACCCAGGTGTCTAATTCCAGGCCTCAGGCTTTTCCCTTTGCTGCCTCCGGACCTTATGCAGCCAAACATAGCCAGGAACTCAGTGGGGGGCAGATGTTAGTCAGGGGGAACTTGTTGATCCGTTAAATCTGGTCTGATGAACTCACCTTGTCTCTACCAGTTTGTCTGGACTAGCTGCATTGTCTTAGGCCAGCCACTTTGTCTCCCAAACCAACCCCCACCACCAATACACACACACACACACACACACACACACACACACAGAGAAAGTGGTAAAGGAAGAAAGATTTTCATTTTCCAGAGACAGAGGTTATGCAACCAGTGGTGGGGACCATTTGTTTGGGCTTTTTCTCCTCCCGGCATTGACTTTTCACTGTATAGACCCAGCCACCAAAACTACTTTGAGAGCTGCTGGCGCTTTCAGATGGTGACACCAGCAGTACCCTCCTCCATCTGCCATTGCGCCTAGGACTCATCTGGTGCAGCTGTGGCCATAATGGCAGCCACCCAGATAGTACAGGCCATTTCATCTCTTAGGGTTTCCTTCCACCTCTTACATAAGTAATTAGACTCATTTTACTCAAATCCCACCTCTTCGCTGAGAGTAGAATATACCTTCAAGGCCCGGTCTCTTGTCTGCTATCTGGGACCTTGAAAGACAGTACTAGAAGGTCCCTCAAGAGCTTCTCTAGGGAGTAGATGCCCCTTCTGGAGCCAGAGGGTTCACCAGGCCCCATGATCTATTCCATTGTGACACTCTGGGGCCAACATCTCTTGCTGGCAGCACCCAGATGCAGACAGCCTGTATGTGGAGAAGATTGATGTGGGGGAAGCAGAGCCACGGACTGTGGTGAGCGGCCTGGTGCAGTTTGTGCCCCAGGAGGAACTGCAGAATAGGCTGGTGGTGGTGCTGTGCAACCTGAAACCCCAGAAGATGCGAGGAATCGAGTCCCAAGGCATGCTCCTGTGTGCTTCTATGTAAGTGAGGACTTGGGGTGGGGCGCAGGGGGAGGCCAAGGGTGGATTGGCCCACCCAATGCCCCTCCACATGCCAGGTGGAATGAGAACACTGGCCCAAAGGTGGTGCATGGAGGAATTATTTCTTGTACAAGTACTATGAATGAAGCGCTTTACCTACAGCTAACTTTATTAACACAGAAATGGAAGATTCAAAGCAGTGTGTACATGCCCACCTCTCACTAATAAGAGGTGGAGCCAGGATTCAACCCAGTTCCGATGGGCTTTGAAGGCCTTGCTCTCTCTGTTATGTCACACTTCCTTCCCGAAGAGCCCAGATTTTGGTATCTCTCCTGACCTAGGACTTCAGTTTAGCCCTGGTTAACCCAACCCTGATGATGTCCCCGAAATCCCAGTAGGGCCTTCATGTGGAGGCTCTAATGCTTTGATCTCATGGCAGCTGGAGGCAACCCGTAGCTTCACTCTTTCCTTGTTCTGTGTGTCTTCCCAGGGAAGGGGTCAGCCGCAAGGTTGAGCCCCTGGACCCTCCTGCAGGCTCTGCTCCTGGGGAGCGAGTGTTTGTGAAGGGCTATGAGAAGGGCCAACCAGATGACGAGCTCAAGCCCAAGAAGAAAGTCTTTGAGAAGTTGCAGGTAAAAAGCTGCCATTGTTTCCCTCTTACCTGGGCTGCCTGGACTGTCCCCCCAGACTGCTCTGTACTGAATCCAAACCTGCCCTCTTCCAGCTGGGCCTTTCTGCATCTAAGCTCCTCCTCCTTCTTCATTCCAGACCTTTCTGAACGAGGTGCTTAAGGAGCAAGTCTGAGCACCGACAGGCTCCTTGAGGCACAGACAGTTCCTCGTTTAAATCTTGTCTGTGATAGACAGTCCCCATTTTACCTGGCAGGATACCTGCCAAGGCCACACAGGTCACCACAAGTGCTGGAGCCAGGATCAAACCCTCCCAGGGTCACTGTCACCACCTTGATCTTGGAGCACTCATTCTCTTCCCCTTCTGGGGCACTGACTCCTGTGTGGCCTGCCCCTGTGACCCTTGAGTTCATTCATTCAACAAATATTGGGTCCCTAACATATGTCAGGCATTGTTCTGGGTGCTTGGGCTACTGCATCAGTGAATAAAACAGCAAAACTTCACTCTCCTCATGGAACCAACACTAATGTTTGGCTTTTTCTAGTTAATAACTGGTTTCCTGGTGCTCACTTCAGCAGCACACATACTAAAATAACTTGTTTCCTCAATTAAACAAAGGTTTTCTGGAGGGCATGTCGAGTGATTTCTACTTCTCCATCCTGCTGTGTGTGCCAATTGGCTTCATCCCCTCCCTCCTTTCTGGTTTTCCAGGATGGCTTTATGAATCACTGATTTTTTTCTGACTATAAAATATATTTTCAGTGTAGATATGTATAAAATATAGAAGAAAAAGAAGAAAACAAAATACCCATAGTCCTATCACCTAGAGCAGTGGTCGGCAAACTGCGGCACGCAAGCCACATGCGGCTCTTTGGCCCCTTGAGTGTGGCTCTTCCACAAAATACCGTGTGGGCACGCATGTACAGTGCAATTGAAACTTGGTGGCCCATGTGCAGAAGTCGGTATTTTGTGGAAGAGCCACACTCAAGGGGCCAAAGAGCCGCATGTGGCTTGTGAGCCACAGTTTGCTGACCACTGGCCTAGAGATACTGAAAAATGTCATTAGTGATTATTTCCTTCTGGATATTTTCTGTACATAGAGATATTTACAGTTTGAGTCATACCATATGTTCTTTTTAAAAACTTGATGCCTGAAAAACTTCCCTATTAAATACTGAGGGGGGGATCTTATTGTATAGTATTGTGTCATAATTATCATTATTTATCTAAATTATTTACCCTTATTAGACTTTGAGGTGGTTCTGTTTTACACTATTAGAATGCTATGATGGATGTCTTGGTACATAGTTCTTCTCTCTTGTTCATGATTATTTTCTTAAACTAAGTCCCTAAAATGAACTTTGTGCCATTGAATTGGCTCTGACTCCCAGTGACCCTATGAATCAGTGATGCCCACAGTGTCCTGTTCACAACAGCTCCTGCAGACTCACCTTCGGCTTCTTTTAGAGTCAATCCATCCCATACTTGGGCTTCCTCTTTTCCTGCTGCCTTCTGTTTCCCCAGCATTATTGTCTTTTCCAAGGAACCTGCCTTCTCATGCTGTGCCCAAAGTAAGACAGCTTCAATTTTGTCGTTTTTGCCTCCAGGAATATTTCAGGTTTCCCTGAGTCAAAAGATGGGAGCTCTTAGAAAAGTTAAGTCAGTTTACACTCTGGTGGTGTAAGCGAGTCTTTGTTTTCTTGCAGTTCCATCACCATCACTATAATCACTTTTTGTTTCTTATCCAGGCTGACTTTAAAATTTCTGAGGAGTGCATCGCACAGTGGAAGCAAACCAACTTCATGACCAAGCTGGGGTACATCTCCTGTAAATCACTGAAAGGGGGGAACATTAGCTAGCTAACCTGCATCTCCCACCCTTCCCCATCATCCTGAGTCATCTGTCTCCTCAGTTTGCGCTATCATCCGTTTACCTATCTCCCTGGACACTGAAACAAGAAGTTTGGGGCTTCATCAGGTGCAGAACTTGCTGAGAAGGCAGCGCAACCACCCCCGAATCCAGGATCGCCCCCGAATCCAGGATCGCCCCAGTCTGGCTACAGTGGGAGGCCGACCTCCCAGGGAGTAACAAGGGCTGGGCAGCAGCAGGGAGTCTAGCTCTACCTTCTTCCCTTGGCAGCTGACTTAAGAAATCTGGTTTTAATATAACTCACAGAAAATGTTTATGCCACAATCCTTCTAATTGGAACAACACTGGTTTCCAGGTTTTCCTGGAGTTATCCCAGCAGCTGTGCCTCTGCCTGGGATCTGATGCCTGAACTGAATTAATTACAGCTTCTCCCCAACAGGAAATTGTGGGATTTGAAAAGGGAAGGGAAAACAAGAGAACCTAGTGGTCTACCACGTGGTTGGCAGCATTCACCAATGCCTGCCAGCTCTAAGGCTTGGCATTGGAGATGGGGCCTGCCTTGGACTCCTGGCATTTCCCTTGATTCTGCAAGTTTGGGACAGTCCCTAAACCAGCTGTGTGCTAACGTCAGAAGTGGGGTGGATGGTACCGCCTGGTTCTTTTTCACAGAGGGTGGGGTGCTTCTCCATAAGGCATCTCAGTCAGTATCACTAACCATCACTGTCACGAATTCAAATAAAAGGTCTGAAAAAGGGTGTCTGGATGAGGCCTGTCTGTAAACCAGCTCAGGAGAGAGGAACACAAGTGTGTAGCAGCTGCTGAGCCCCTCACCCAGTCTGGAGCTGCTTGTGTCTTGTATTTTTGACCCTGTAATGAGTGGTGGGAGGGAGGAGACATAGAGGATGGAGGGTGGGCACCTGACTCTCCCTTCAGCAGTGCTAAGCAAGGAGCCCCACTTTTAGGGTCCGATGTTTGCAGCGAGAACATTTTCCCTTCTAAATGTGGGCCTCAATCACCACCACGCCCCTCCCCCATTAAGAAGCAGTGGCCACAGCCAAGTTTTAATCATTTAATTAACACCTTTGAAACAGCTTTTCATGTGTCTCATTCAGGCTTCAGGGCAGAGGGAATGGATTGTTTGTACACACATATCAAAGACTCAAAAATTTAAAGAAATATATATATATATACTTCTAACATTTTTATGGGAATTAAAAATCAGAGGCTTTTGGTCTCTCCATTTGCACTAGATCAAGCTCTTTTACCCCAAAGGACAAAGAAGGGTTGCTTCTAGGTCCTCCCTTCTCCTTCGTACTCTGTCCCACCCAGTGGGGAAATAAACTCAGAAGACTAACTGAGGAAAAGGAGCTTGGGTAACATTGACAGCAGGGAGGGAAAGAGAATTTGGGCTTCCTCCCACCTCCAGCATCTCCAACGCTGCTACCAGGACCTGGTTCTCAGGGGTGTGGATCAGGAGCTGAGCAGAGCGATGTTTATTGACCATCTTTCCCCAACTCACTGGGCAGGCACAGTGCATCCCTAGCAGCAGCTCATTACCCAAAGGGCAAGGGAGGAACATCGGTTTACAGCTCCAGGGAGGAAGCAGTGAGCGAGGGCCAGAGGAACCTGGGCTCTCGTACCACATCCCGTTTCCCAGCTCTTACTCTGGAATGAGGTCAAGCTCTCCTTGGTGGAAGAAAAACGGCTAATGGCAAGGTTCCTTGCCAGACTCAAGCCTGGGTCACTGGAGCCATAGGGGCCAGTGGGGAAGCCAGCTTACCTAGATAGGTGACACGGGCCGAAAACGGGAAGGTCATTAAAATTCCTGGAGGAGAGATCAGTAGCAGAGACTGATGTCTGGGGGCAATCACCCAGCCTGCCCCCTTGGAGCACTGAGCCCCCCTGCATTGACTAGGGAAGAGTCTGGAATAGAATGCACCTTTGGCTTCCCATCCTTGTCACTCGGCATCAGCTCCCCCCAGTGGAACCACCTGTGCTGAAAGCAGCTGCACAGAGGACATGAACCCAGGCGAGGAAAGAAAGGCCAGAGAATGCAATCTGTAGGGCTGGGACTGGGCCCACTGCCCAAATAAGCTCTCCCCCTGCCAGACCCTCCCCTCCATCCCCTCCTCAGTACTTCCGACCAGCTGAAAGGGACACAGCCCGTGGGCTCCTGTCTGAAGTGCTGTGCCTGCCCACCCCAACGTGACCAGGTAAAACAAGGAACAGATGCCAGTGTCCCCTGAGATGATTCCCATTCGGTTCTGAGGACAGAGCCTGAGGACCTCCTCTCTAGCTCTTTCTTGCCCCGCCCATTTGGGCCCTGGCCGTCTCCCACTTGTTCCCCGCATGGAGCACCTAGCATAGCTGGAAGGCAGGAGGGTGGTTGGTGTAAGTTGAGGCACAGAAAGGCTAACCCTTGCTGCACCTCTTGTGCTTTGGAATTCCACAGCCTTGCTCCTGCCTCCAGCCTGGGGGGATACAAAGTCTTGCCCACCTCCAAGAACTAAGAAAAGGAGCAAACTGGATGGGAGGAAGGGGATGGTCCCAGCTCAGGGCTGGCTATGACTGATGCTGCTGCCATGTAAACAGGCCCTTGGAATGTGGCTTCATGGGCCCTGGAGGATGGCCATGCAGTCTCTTTTCAAAAGTGCTTTGATTCTGGACTACAGTATGTGCATGATTTGGACATTTAAAAAAAAAAAGAAACGAACTCAAGTGAGGTGTTCTGCTCCCAACTCTGGCCTCAGGGCCAGCATGGGGCGCAGCCACCCGCTCCGACCAGCTACCTCCTTCAAGATGAGGCTAAGGCCAAGACTGAAGTGGCAGCCGCCAGAGGTGACTCCATTCGGGAAAAGGCATGAGAGCTGGATGACTTGGAGGACAGGGTCAACACCAGGCTTGCATAAATGTTGAAGGCCGTGGAGGTTAAGGCTGCAGGCATCCTCTCTGTTAGGTTAAGTGTCTGCCGTATCCTCTCATCCTCGGAGCTGCTCAGGTCCCTGAGATTGTATTCCTGGGATGGGTCAGCAGAGCCAGGGAGGTGCCCGGTGGTCAGACCAGCTCTTTCTGTGGGTCTGTGGGAAAAAAGGGGAGATTCAGCAAGGGGCCTCCCCACTTGGCTCTGGACAGAACCCAAGACACATTCTTACTTCATCCCCTAACCTCAATTACTGAACATGCTAGTAGCACTGTGCTTAACACTTTACAAACATCCTGACACTATAATGTAGGCGCCACTGCCCACACTCGACAGTGAGGAGCTCGAGGCTAGGATGGGTAGATTAAATGGCAAAGTTGAACTTCAAACTTAGTAGTTCTGACTCCAAAGCCCCCCACACACTGTAGCTCAGTTCACCCTTCCTGGCATCCTGAGACCTGAAGCCTTGAAGACCCAAGAACAATCCCAAATGGTAGGACTTAGATGTCTAGTCCCATCACCAGCAATGGGACCACACCCACCACTGCACACTGTACCTGAGCCAGGCGGACCCAGCTTCTCCTCTAGGCCCACCAGCTGCACGACACCTCCATTCTCGGCCGGCTCCCCCTTAGTCCTGCCCTCGACATGAGGGAGCCCATTGCTCGGAGGAGCAGCAAGGGGCTCGGCCCGAGGAAAGCTGGGGGACGTGGGGGAGGGTACCCCCACAGAGGGCTTGCGGGCCACCGGTGGGGGAGCCTTAGGTGGCTTCTTTGAGGCCTGGGGTGGCCGCTGCTCTGAGATGCTCCGAAGTTCAGCCACCAGATTCCGCTGGAGGTCAGCCTGGTTCTCAGGGGACACGGGCCGCTCCAACTGCAGCTTCTTGGTGCCCTTGGAGAAGATGAAGCTGGCCGTGGAGGCAGGGGACTGAGGAGACCGTGGCTCTGCCTCGGGCGGCCCATTGGGCTGGGCATTCACAAGACCCTCGCTGGCAGCCAGATTGGAGGCCTTGAGTCGGACGGCAGCATGGAGCCCTGGGGAAGGGGCAGGTGCTGG